CCAGGCCGTGACAATCCTCAGGTGACCAGCAGGTGTGTGGCTCCTGTGTGAGGTCCCTGTGCGTGGTCCACCCAGGGTCCAGGCCGTGACAATCCTCAGGTGACCAGCAGGTGTGTGAGGGCCTGTGTGTGGTCCACCCAGGGCCCAGCCTGTGACTTCTGAGATGACCAGCTGGGCCACTGGCCCTCACTTCTTTATTTTGTGCAGCGTGCTTTTTGCTGGTGTGCGTAAACCTGGTCACCCAGGAAGTGTACAGTAGCACTTTGATGTCTTGAGTTCAAATCACATGAAACAACGTGGGTATGCGGAGGGAGGGGAGCAGGCCGAGTGTCCTGTCCTGCTGTGCATCTCTCAGGCCTGCAGAGAACAGGGAGGGAGAGCTGTAAAGGCGGCTGCTGCTGGGGACTCTCAGGGTCCCACGCAGATCTGGCACAGCTGCGGTGAGGAGAAAGCTGTTTGTGGGACAGCAGCTGCAGGACAGTCCCCGAGAGCAACCCTGGGCTGCTGTGCCAGGTGCTGGGCAAGGTTCCTGCCAGGACACGCCCTCCTCAGAGCGTCTGCAATGCTCCAGTTTACCTGGCTGCTGGGCAGGGATGGGGAGGCACGGTCCCCAGGTGGGGTTTGTGGTCCCCTGAGCAGAACCAGGAGGACTGAGGGCGGAAGCATGGGTCCTCCTTGTGTGGCCAGCAGTCACCGTGATGGACACTGGGAAGAGGGCTCTGAGACGGAAGGGGTGGGTGACACTGCCTGTGCCTGCAGAGGCCATGGGAGGCGTGGAGGGAGAGGGCCAGGGCTTGCAGACAGAAGCAGGACCTGCCGTCTGGGGCAGAGCAGCATCTGTCCTGGGGAGCGGCCGGCTGGCCAGTGCTGCGTGGAGACATGTGGGTTTGAAGATGGGATTGGAGAATATCACAGACGTTTAGGTCTTTCATTGAGTCCAGAATTTGGTCCAATGCTGTTTGCAAAGCTTTGGTACCTGAGGGTGAACAAGAATCAGGAAAGTTACGCCAGCCGAACACGACATTCCTGTAGTCCTTCTTGTGCTGTGGTTGGTGACAGATATTGGTACACACTTGCTCACCCAATGCAGGCTGGAAGCATTCCTGATGTGACAGGCAGTCCACACAGCCTCTTTGAATGTCACCCCTGCCTCGGGGAAGAACACTCATTTTCCAGGATGACGAGTCAATGGGAGCATGGTGCGGCCCCTGGTGGGAGCCTGTGTCCAGGAGCACTATTGGCCTGTGGCACCCACGTTGAAGGAGCCATGGGGTCTGGAAATGTGCGAGGACTTGTGTGCAGCTGCTCTTAGGCTAAATGCCTGGAGCAGGTTCAGGACGCAGTGCAGGTGCTTTTATGTGTGCGTGAGGACTGCGCATGTGGGCAGCACATGTGGGCATGTAGGTTGGCATGCATATATGCGCACCCGCATATGCACATGCAGTTGTGTGTGCACAGAACAGGTGTGTGTGTCATGTATCTCTGCATGTACTGTGACAAAGGTGTGCATGTGTGTGTGTGAAAGTGCTATACACAGGTTTATACGAAGTGCATAGGTGTGAGCTCAGGTAGGCCTGTGCATGTGTGTGCCTAGGTGTGCAGGCAGGGATGTGTGTGGTGTGTATGTAGACGGGTGTGTATGCATGTTGCCATCCTGGAAAACAAGTGTTCATCCCTGTGGCGGGAGTGACATTCACGAAGGCTGTGCATATGTAGACGGGGTGTGTGCATGTGATGTGTATATGGACAGGGGTGTGTGTGTGTGCCTAGGTATGTATGCATGGGTGTATGTGTGTGCCTAGTATGCATACAGGTGTGTGTGTGTGTGTGTGTGTGTGTGTGTGTGCCTGCCTGGGTATGCAGGGAGTGGTGTGTGTGCCTGTCTAGGTGTGCAGACAGTGGTGTGTGTATGTGCCTAGGTGTATAGGGAGGGGTGTGTGTGTGCCTAGGTGTGTGGGCAGGGTGTATGTGTGTGTGTAGGTGTGCAGGCAGTGTGTGTGTGCCTAGGTGTGCAGGCAGGGTGTGTGTGCCTAGGTGTGCGGGCAGGGTGTGTGTGCCTAGGTGTGTAGG